TTCAGTTTATGGTTCTGTTTTTATCATCGTTCTTTTCTCAGCTGATTGGACTCATATTTATCAAAGCTACATTTGCATTATTTTTTTTTTTTAATATGGGATTTAAGGATTTCCTCAAAAAAAATATTTAATACTTTTCACAATGGGAGTTTGTTACTCACATCAGCTACTGTATCATTCTTTGGTATAAAACAATAGTGCTGCATTTGCTTTTCCTATAAGGAAACAGAGGTAAACCCCTCAGTTTAAACAATCAAACTACAGAGTATGGACACTTCTTCTTCCTCACTCTCTTTATTTTCTCCTTTGCATTTCCATTCCTTCTTTTGGCAGAACTGTCTTGGTAACTTCAGGGTGTTTGGTACTCCCAAGCAAGAAATGACAGCATCTGGCAACCCTACCCAGGTCATCTCCACACATCTAACACTGGATTTTCAGCTGACATTTCACAGGATGCTGGAATGTCCTCCATTATCTCTGTAGAAGCACTTTGCAAATTTGGGTGGGATCCAGTTAAGGAGCCAAGAACAATACTGTGGTAATTACCTGTCCAGTCAAGTCTATAAAAAATGAGTTACAAACAGCATAAGCTAAAGCAAATAATTCTAACAAATATTCTTTGGGCAACCCATAAGTTAAAATGAGAGTAATGAGGACATTGTAATGCTTTAACATGGATAAATCACAAAAATATCATCTCTCTTTATCTGAAAAATGGTCAGATTCTAATACTCAAGCCAGGTTAATTGTAAAATAGTTTGGGATCTTGGATGCTGGCAAACAGAGTGTGACTTAAGCTGGGCTCTGGAACAACCTCGTGGGTGGATTATGAGACCCCCGAGAAGCACCAGGCAGCCCCGAGCGGTGCTACTGGATCAGACCTCAGTTTGTGCTCCCATGACACTCCAAGGAGGCAGAAGAGGCACATTTTCCACAAGTTTGTAAACACAACAGCTTCCAGCAAAAGTGGTGAGAAAATTTCAGGGATTTGGTGGGGTTTTTTTGAGGCATCTACTCCGTGTCACTGGTGGGAGCTGGGAAAGTGACTGATGCAATAAAATGGACCATAGGCTCCTCACAAAACAGGATGAAATGTTTATATTTGGCTATTATGGTGATGGATGTTAAAAAAGAAAGCTAAGATAAATACACATATTAATTATGTGTCAAACCACAGGACATCTCTCAGGACACTGTGATGGGAAGACTCAAATGCTAGAGATAACTTTGCTTCATTTCAATGTATTTCTTGATGAGCTTTATTAACCTTTAGGGACAAATGAATCCCAGAAAGAGTATTTGTTACTATGACCTTCTGTAATTCCTCCTCATGCTTAAAGACAGGGTGATTTCCATCCAGAAGAGAATCTAGATGGAAGAAATGTATGTGAACTCAGTGAATTAAATACATCCCTGGGCAGAGATGGGACCCAGAAATCGGTGTCCCTGTTTCTACACTGCACTGGAAGTTATTTAGTTAAGGAAGGACAAGTATTTCCCTCCTTTCATACTCCTACTGAGAAAATTTTAAAATCACTCAGCTCATTCCCCATAATTTCTCTCCACAGCCCAATAAAAAGGATAATCTTCTGTTTCTCAAAACCAGAATTCAGAGAAACTGCAGCCACATTAGAACAGCAGAAATAACTCTGATTCCTCGCTCCAGTGTATAGAATAAGTCCTTTAATTAAAGCAACTCTCTGGTCAAGCCGATACTTCTATTTTATTTTTTTTTTAATTGCAGTCTCCTGTCACTCTGTAATTTATTTTATTTCAATTCATCAGGGTGTGTGAATGTTTCAGAGTGCCCCAAACGGAATGGGGGCTGTCAAAGGATGCGATGCTGCGTCATCACGGAGCCGATGGCCACGAGCCAGCTCTGTCAACACTTGGCTTTGTACTGTCCGGGGGAGAGAAGCTGATTCTTCAGCAGTGCCTAATCAGTTTAAAACAAATCTGGAAGATGTTACTAGAAGACAAGATGAGATCCAGGCTGCAGCAGCCCCTGCATACAAAGAAGTGAAGGATTTTGTTTGAGAAAGATATTAAAGAGGTGGAAACAACTCTTGACAGTTTCTACAGGATTTTAACAGGGGGTAAGAAGGAGTGAACTACTGGTTTAGGGAATGGGACTGCTGGTACCTAGAGAAAGGACCTTGTTCTGTGACCTCTGCTGTAGCAACAGAGACATCAGGGGAATAGATCTCCTAGTAAGCAAAGGAAAAGTTCCTGTGTATTCACAGCACCATTCCAATACACAAAGGGGACATACAGAAGGTTGGAGAGTGACTTCTTGCAAGTCACAAGATAGGACCAAGAGATCTGGCTTTAAATTGTCAAAAGGAAGATCTAGATTAGAGATTAGGAAGAAATTCTTCCCTGTGGGGTTGCTGAGACCCTGGCACATTATCCAGAGAAGCTGTGGCTGCCCCTGGATCCCTGGAAGTGTCCAAGGCCAGGTTGGATGGGGTTTGGAGCAATCTGGGATAGGGGAAGGTGTCCCTGCCATGGCAGGGGCATGGAACAGGATGACCCTTAAGTTCCTTTCTAACTGAAACCATTCTGTGAGTCCGTGATTCTTCATAGTCTGGTTAATTCTTGAAAGGAAACCATGGTCAAATAATTTAGGGTGTAATAATGACAAGAAACAGTTACCTAATAAATCACAGGAGGTGTATATAAAAAAGGTAAATGCATACTTTTGATTTCTGCAACAACTTCCATCTGAGTCCATCAAAAGGTTTCAGAAACCAAATGTTTCTACATCCAACACAGATATCAGGGAGCTCCACATTCATCTTTCAGTGCCTCATCTGGAAACCTCCTACCAGCCCTTGATCACACAGCTATCCTTGCAGAAGAGAAACTGATGGTTTTCTTTGGGATGTGTTTCTGGAAACCTCTGTTTCCTTCTCACACAGCAAAGGAGTGAAGGTGGAAAGCCAAACTTTCTTTCCTGTCTGCAGGCACCTGACCTGGCCCATGGAACATGACCAAGACACACTTTGCCCTCGCAGGATTCAACTGCAAGGACAAGGGACCACTTCAGTACCCAGAAAGGGAATAGAAATAGTTAAGAATGTGGTAGAGGAGCTACTGGAGCCTTCTCTTACTGCTGCATAGAAGATGTGGCAGGAGTAAGAGAAGGATGTGTTTTTGGGAGAGACATGTGCTGGGTTTAAAGCAGAAAACAGAAAATACCCCCTAACATTAAGTTAAAAACAATCAGATAAGGTGTTCAGTGAAACAGCTGTTACTGGGAAAGGGGAAGGGGGCAGGGAAAGAGCTGCAGATCCACAGGAAATTCCTCCACCAAGCTGAAGGAAGCCTTCAGTATCTCTCATGATTGCAAACGAGTGGGAAGGAGGCAGGAAGGAGCAGGAATGTCCTGCCTTTTGCAGGACATTGTCTGGCTGCTGCCCAGTGGGACCTGTGAGTTTCCATCATCTGCACCAGTACAGATAAACCCTCAGGAGCCCAGGCATCTTCAAGCCCAACAGATGCAACATCACCCCTTTCCATTTCCCCCTCATCCAACATGTTATAAAGATGAGATTTAACTTATTTTCTTATTATTAAAGGGGAGAATAACTGAGTGAAAAGAAAAAGCTTTCCCTATTTCAGAGTACCAGGATGTGCTCCTCTTTCTTATCATTTCAGGAAAAAAGCCCCAGCCCTTTTTTCCCTACAATATTTTGACCTTGTTGTTTTTCTTCTCTCAGAGATCTCTTCCTTTGTTCCCTTCACTTTGATTCCTACCCATGTTTTTGGTGGCCTGGTCATTGGCTCTAAGGGAGCAGAATTTATCCCTTGTCCTCTAGAGCTGAATCTATTAAACCTCCCCAACTTTATTCAAGTAAAGCCTGGTGAAACATCTTTTGCCTGACATGGGAATTAACCCAATATCTGAGTTGAGACAAATTCCTCCACCTCTCTGTAATTTATCTTTTTCACTTTACATGAGGATTTTTCTCATGGTCTGTGAAGCAGGTCAGATTACCTTAGATACTTTGTCAGTAGCTGAATGGATAGGGTATTATAAACTCTAATTTACAGTCTCCTGTAACTTACTGTATATAAAATACCAAAAGAGCACAGATCTGCTTCAGCTAAACCCCTAAATGTCTGCAGCTTAGTCAGGTTTGGCCATAGAATCTTTGTTTTTAGGGCCTGAAGGAACCCTGACCTGATGTTCCCTGAGCAGTCTGGGCCACAGTTTGAGCATTTTGAGCTGCCCCTGTTTTCCCAGTGAGGTCTTGGGTCACACCTGGATGTTCTGGAATCTTGAGTTTTCCTCCTTACATTTCCTGAACCCACAGAATGTGTTGAAGTTTATTACAGGAAGCCGCTGGAGTGTTCAGGTTATACATGAACAACCAAAAAAAATCAGTGTTCTTGCACTGTGGTGCATATTTTAATTAATACAGGGAACTACAGCAGCTTTTAATAATGTCTTTCAGCCTCTTTTTTTTCCTAGAATCATGGAATGGTTTGGGTTAGAAGGGACCATCCAGTCCAGACCCCTGGTATTGAAGAGGGACATCTTCAACTTGACCAGGTTGCTCAGAGCCCTGTCCAAAGCATCCCTGGATGTCTCCAGGGATGGGGCATCTACCACCTGAGGGACACCTTTGTTCATTCCTCCTTTCAAATCAATAATTTTCGTTCTCTTTTACAGTTTTCCCACTTCATTATCACATCAACAGCAATGGACAGGAAGACCTGGAAGGTCTGAAATCTTCTGTTCCCTCTCAGTTTCTCCACTCCCTCCACCCTCACCAAGATTGCCCATCACAGAAGACTCCTATAATAAAAACTAACACCAAGCAGACACTAACCTTGTTGTTAAACTAAAGCTGCTGAACTAAATGACATCCCTGGCTGAGGGAATAAGGAGAGAGCAGACACACATTGTAGCAGGGAAACCTTTGGCTGCTCCAGTCCATCTCATCCCAGCTCCAAACTCTTGTGGCTGAAGTCATTCCAGCTGCACTGCTTACCTTGGGAAGAGGCAGAGGGGATGCTGCAGCCTCTCAGTTTGACTTCCACATCTCCTTCATCTCTGGGAGATGATCCCAAGCAGCTGCTGAATTCTCCATGATGAGAAGCATGGGCTGATTTATCCCGTAGTTCCCAGCGTGGAAACTGGTCTGTGGATAAAGACCTGACTCTGCAGCATCTTCCATCAGCACAAAGCAAACAACTGTGCAAGAAACCTTTTCATAATCATGAGGTAAAAGGAGAGAGAGAGAGAAAAAAACAACCCAAATTCTTAAACGTATTCAGACTCAGCTGGAATTCGGACCAAGAGATGGACTAGCTACTTACTTATCCCTGAGGCACATTCACCCCTCTCTATAATTAAGCTCTTGGGCTGTTTTGTTAGTGGTGAGAAGCAGGCTTTGCCAAAAGTCATCTGGCTTTCTCCCTTAGAACACTGACAGGTTTTTCTCCCCCCTTCTTGCTAAAGAAAGCTTTCAATTTTCATTGCTTATGTGCTTTAGGTATAATTATTTTTTTTACCTTTCACGGTGTTATTTCCTACCCATAAAATTATACAAAAATGGTCATCAGTGAGCCTGCTGAAAAGACCAGCCACCATACATTACAGAGAATTACCTTAATATTTATAAAAAAAAATAAGAATAAAAAAAAAATAAAGACCATATTTCTTTTAAAGATCTTGCTCTAAACAAACTGAATTATTCATGCATAGAATTGTACAGCATTAGAACACCTGTTTTCAATCATGCATAATGTAAAATCACTCATTACCTCACAAGAGCCTCTACATCTCCAGCAATCAAATGGCATTGAAACAGCAGAACAGGTGCTTGGCAGGTGGATCCAAACAGATGTTTTAGGCTTGGTTGTCTTTTCTTGTACAGGTGTGGTGATCTTGTTTTCAACGGCATAATTGCTATTTGAATAGGTGATATTTAATTCTTACGTGCTTTAATATTTATTTTTGCTTCTTCAATTCCTTTTTTTTTCCACTCTGCGTACTGCACGGGCTCAAAGCAGCTTATGAGATGTGGGAGAGCTCTGGGCTGAAATGCCAGTGATGCAATGGAAAGTACAGTTCCTCTTGCTCAGACCTTCATGCCACAAATTCTCAACCAGGAGACTCTGTCCTTTTTCTAGACAACTTGTGCAAAACCACTGCAGAGACCTCCAGAGTCTCAGCCAGGCTCCAGCATTCCCTTCCTGAAGGATATTTGAATGTTGGCTATATGGAGATACGATAAACCTTCATGAAAACAACAAAACAATAAATGGAGAAGATCTCTGCGTGTTTTTCAAGGATACAATTTTGCACAATTTAAATGTGCCTAAAAACTACAGCATACTTAGTACGCTGATGTTGCGAAGGAGAAATACATCACTGACTGAGGGCAGGGATGGATGGGACATTGGGAAGGAATTCTTCCCTGGGAGGGTGGGCAGGCACAGGGTGCCCAGAGCAGCTGTGGCTGTCCCTGGATCCATGGAAGTGTCCAAGGCCAGGCTGGATATGGATTGGAGCAATCTGGGATAGTGGAAATGTCCCTGTCCATAGCAGGGGGTGGAATGAGATAATCTTTAAGGTCTCTTCCTACCCAAACCACTCTAGGATTTGATGGTTCCAAACCTTCACTCTGCTTCTCCAACTCCTGTTTTTCATGTGGGCCCCATGGAAGAGGTTCCTGGACTAGTGGCCTTTGTTAAACCAGATTGTGGACCTGGCACCCTGCAAAAGCTGCTGAAGGCACTGAACCTGCAAGGAAAAAGAAAATAAAAAGGCAAAAATTTGACATCTTCCCCTGGGAATTTAGAGAAATTAATGAACAGTGGCCAAAAAGTATTTTGGTGCTCATCCCCTTCAAGCACTGATTACTGGTCGGCCAAAGCCAATATGTTCCCACTCCTACTTCAGTTTCAACAGCAAAGTGGCAAATCATTAGAAACAACTTTAAACTTGGCACCCTGTCCAGCATCTCACAGAGCAGCCAAGGACTGAAAATCCAGGGTGAGTTTATTGCTCTGACAGGTCACCTGCCCTCAGGCTGTTTGCTCCTCATGATCCCACACCGTGGGAGCAGAGGGATGAACAGGGATGCAGTGACCTGGATGGATGCTTCACACAGGGGTGTTCAGAGCAGGACAGCTCTTCATGGTTAGCACGTGATGCTCACAGGGTGTCAACAACGCATTTGTTCTGTGTCAACCCATTTTGTGTGTCAAGGACCAGAGCAGTAATGTTTTTGGATCACAATGTGTCACCACCAAATTCTTCCCTGTGAGGGTGGAGAGGCACATGGAGCCCCGAGAAGCTGTGGCTGCCCCTGGATTCCTGGAAGTGCTCAAGGCCAGGCTGGATGGGGCTTGGAGCAGCCTGGGATAGTGGGAGGTGTCCCTGCTCATGTCAGGGGATAGAATGAGATCTTTGAGGTGCCTTGAACCCAAACCCATTCTATGATTCCAGGATTTTAGAACACATGCCCAGCTATACCATATTAGTTCACTGCACCTTTCAGTGTGTTAATGAATCTGCCCTGAACCAAGTATGACAGAACTTAGATGACACTATTACATTAACAAGTAGGGTATCAAGACTGATAGGGACACATAAATATGTAGATGCATTTATCTATACGGTTCACACTTACAAAGAGAAGTTCCTCCAACATTCATTTACATGTTTATTCATGTATAGCAATTAAAACATACAGGAAAAATATCTGATAAAAAGTTCTACCAGTCCATGGTGGCTCACCTGTCCAAAGTCAGCATATACCTCAAAACAGAAAGTTCCAGAAACAGCAGGTGCCTGCAGTGACCTCTGCACCATCTCCTTCACTCCAGCACTTTGTCCTTTTCCTGGGCTCCCTCTGCGGTAAACAAATGGGCAGAAGGTTTCATTCCCAGCTGAAAAGCTCCAGAAAATCTCCCTTCAGCACATTTCCTCAGAGACTGTGAAATTCTTGTATTTCTGGGTCAGATATGTGTGACTTCTACTAGAAGTTACTTTAAACACAAGATTAACAAAGAGAAACAAAGGATGTATCAGTGTATCCAGGATGAAATTAAAGCTCAGCAAATGCTTCACAAACTCCATTAGGGATTACTTTCTGAACATTTTTCTTTCTTAGGAGAAAATATAAACTCTTACCTTTGACACAACAGGTCCATCTCACAGCTCCAGCACAGCCTCAGCATCTACTGATGTCCCCCAGTGCTCCTCCTTTGACCTCCCATCCAGCCCCAGGTACTGGAGCTCATCTTTAACCCAGGATGAGGTGGTTTGGATTGTTTTTGAACATTTCCACAAAGAGCTGTTTGATCTGGAGTGCTGCCTTCAGGAAACAGAGCTGCTCTCGTCCTCCTCTTAAGAACTTTTGACCACTTTTTGCTGCAGGATCTTTTCCCACATCCTTGTCTCCATGACCGGGCTTCAAAGGACACCGTGCTCTTCCCTTTGACAGCCCTCACCAGCTCTACACCTCCTGGCTTGGAATGGGTCTGTGCAGCTTTTCTCCATGATATATTTCCATTCATTCCTCACATTTAATTTGTGTCTCAGCTGATCACAGAGGCAGCATGGATTGGCCTCTCCAGGATGCTTTGGATCAATTTTCTTTTTTTGCGTGAAGCATAAATTATTAATAACACCAGGCACTCAAACCCGACTTGCTCCCAAAGTTTCACGCTGTTTACAAAAAAATCTAAATGGATTAGTAACTCCAAAAGATTGGTGAGTGTGAGCTGTGTAAATTCCAGGTGGAAGGGAAACTCCTGAAAGAAAGGACTTGTAGTGAAAAACATCTTTTTCATTTACAGGCCAGTAACAGCTCTTTTGTGTCGAAGGCCTCAGAACCATTTAATATTGCTGTTGCCTTGCATATTCACCAATAAAATGGTCTTATTTCTCTTCTCAGAGAGATGGTGCAAGGGAGTTATAAACAAAGTGGAGAAATTAAAGGTTTTAGCCCAGGTGCAATGTGCTCTTGACATGTTGTTTACCTGAGATGTGCATCCCACAGTTCCTTCACTCAGCAGTGCCTCGGAGCAGGGTGGGCTGCACACTCTTCCCTAAGGGCGAGCAAAACAGCAGCTTACAGATCAGAGTCACAGAATCATCAGGGCTGGAAAAGCCCTCTAAAATCATCATGTCCAACTGTTAATGTAACACTGCTAAACCCACCCCAAACCATGTCCCCCAAGGCCACATCACATAGTTTTTGCTCAAGGCCAGGTTTGGATGGGGTTTGGAGCAGCCTGGTCTAGTGGAATGAGATGAGTTCAAGGTCTCTTCCAACCCAAACCAGACTGTGGTTCTGTGATTCTACCAGAGAACAAAATTGCAAATCACTCAGAGGAGAGATACAGCATCACAAGATTGGAGCATGGCTGTGACATTGTGGGGTTGATTAACCCCATTTAGTGGTGTTTCAGACCCTTTGACTGCACAGTGACTCTTGGTTTTACCTCTCCATCAGGATGGAGGGAACAGTACCCACATGGAGAACAAACCCAGGCACTGGAAACAGCTATTGTGATGGCTTAGGTATGCAAAGATATGTTTAAACACATGTGTTTATACACATATAAACATATATATATATATATATAAATATATATATATGTATTATATATATACATGCATACACATATATGCAGAGTCATGGAATAACAACACATTGGGGTGGAAGAGACATTAAAACTCGCTTCATTCTGACCTCCTGCCATGCGCAGGGACACCTTCCACCAGACCAACCCCCGTCCATCCTGGCCTTGGACACTTCCAGGGATCCAGGGGCAGCCCCATTTCTCAGGGCACCCTGTGCCAGGGCCTCCACACCCTCTGAGCGACAAATATTTTCCTAATGTCCAACCTAAACGTCCATCCTAAAGCCCTTCCCCTTTGTCCTAGTGGCAGTGGGACATTCTCTATAAAACCCACTAAACCCATATTTTTCCATAAAAGGACACAGTGCTCCCCAGCACACCCCAGCCCCGGGTCCCCCAGTTCCCCCCACGGCAGCGGGGCCGGGGCAGCTCCGCTTTCAGCCCGACAGCTGCGGATCCCAGGTGGTCTGACATTTGAGAGAGGGGCTGCAGGAGAGATTGGAGGTGTTTTAGGGGAGAAGGAGGCTGCGAATAACACCGAGGCCTCATCCAGATGGAATCGTTCACGGAACAACCTGGGATACTCGATTACTGTCCATATGCCTCCCAGGTCTCCAAAGGCCACACTCCATTGATTTATTAGAAATCTGCTTCTTTTCCCCCAGCATTGGTTCTTTCCCAAACAGGGCATAATGTGGGATTTACTGCCATCTGAAATGCTCCTTTTTAAAAATCAGTTCTTCGTGCAAGCTGGGCTTCAGAAATGCTCCAATAAACACCAGATTAGAGAGCATTTCGGGACGGGAGCCCCCTCTTTATGTAGCCTTTAAACAAATTTCTTCCTGCCACAATGAGTGATAAAACATTTTATAGGGCATTTCTATGATAAGTAAATGGCTGAAGGCATGGCACCAGTAGAATTAAAGCCACCAGAAATAACTCTGCTAACAGTCTGCCTTACACTTATTTCTTCCTTTGCATATAAGCCTGGAAGAATTATTTTATTGTTTTAGCACTGCAAACAGTTGTTATTAGTGTATCTTATTTATAGTCAGTTCTTAGAGGCACTATAGTAATATAGAAAAATATCAGTTATTTCATCACACTGGTGAATTTAATGAACCTGAAGGTGTGTGTTATTTTAGCACTTGCTGCAGCTCCTGTGAAAACCCAATGGTGCTAAAATCTGTAAACCTGTCACTGCTTAAGTAATAACCTTGTTAAAAGCATCTTCATTTAACTTATTTCAGCTTTTGCAGAATGCAGGTTTTATTTTATCAGTGCAGGGAATAGGTGTTTCCAACCAAACCACTTATTGTAAATATAGTTAATTGTAGTTCATTAATTTATTCTCAGTGTTATTGCTTTTATTTTAACACTTAGTTTAAATTAAGTGTTGTCTAGAATTGAGTTCCCATTTTCGATTTTTTTTAAACAAACTCTTAATTTATATAAAATATCTTTGGTTAGAACAGTAAATTTTATTCTGCAATATGGAAAATGCTCTTTGCATTCATTAATATCCCTTTATGCTGCAAGAAATGAGCTTTCTTCCTTAAGAGCAGACAGGAAAACAAAATGAGATTTTTTTTTTTAATCTTACCACTGTGAAATTGGGCATCTTCCTTTCATTTAAAAAT